GGTTAGAATAAAATTTTATCAATAACTGCGTTTTCTACCATAGTTGCGTGAGTATTCATTGTTTGATCTTACTCTGGAAGGAGTTCGGATGAACGAGATGAATTCCGTTTGTTTAGGTCGTGTGGTTTTCTTGCTATATATATATGCTCGGGATGTTTTTTATTTCGACCAATTTTCAAAAAAAAATCGTTTTCCAGGGTGATCGATCCCTGTATCTGCGTGGGCCTACGAGCTCGTACACCAAAAAAGTAACCTTTTTTGTTACTTTTCGATTGTGAAAGTTAAAAACGTGATAATTTATATTTCGAAAGTGCGTTTTAATTTTCAGATTTGCTAGCGGAATAAAGTATCTACCTATTGATACAATTACTAAAATTAACTTTTTTTCTTATAGTTTAAGTTTCTTGAAATTCATAGAACTTTAAGACCATATCTTTTTCTACTTCGAAAGTTGGAGTTAATTTTTTCTCGTTTCTTGCGTTCATTGAATCTTTTCCAACTACCTGCCTTTTTCCTCGTCAACAAGACAGCTGAAACCGCTCTCACTTGACAACTGCGAGTATCGGTTTCGGTATCTAATATTTTCCTGAGAGTGGATTTTCAAAAAAAAGGAAGTTTCGTTGAGAATTTGGTTCCGACATAATGATTATTTGCGTTTTCTCAAAACAGATGTAGAAGCGTGGTTATAGCTGAATTGTTTGTTTTTGTTCGCTTCAGTCACTCATTTTGCCTGTGCATTTTCTGAGTGTAATTTTAAATGTCAATGAACGCAGTGAAGACGCTTTTATAGAATCATTTTTTTCTCAGGATTATTTTTCACACCGAATTTATTTTTTCACTTGGAATTTTGCACATCAATTTTTTTTTCTCACCAAAATTGAAATGGCGGGAAAAACGGAATTTTTAGGCTCAAAAGTGGATTTGATTTTTAGATTTCCCAGCGGAATAATTTTAATCGTAATGAACAAGTTTGCTCTAATTGTGTATTTTGGTTTAATAGTTGTTGATCATGAAATAATCTGAAAATTATTCACTTGCTTTTTTTCACTGAAAACACTTCTGTATTTTTTTAAATTCAGTTCAAATTAAGGTTACATGCTTCTGGGCTCTGTTAAATTTCGTTTATGTAAAGCAAAACCAGCGGTGAAATTTAGAAATGCCGACCGAGAATACTTCGAATTTTCGGATACAGTTTAAAAAACAAACCAACGAAAATATGATTGAAAACTTTTGAACATTTCAAATATTTTTTCGGTGAAATGGAAAAGTCAATTATAAAATCATAAAGATATCGTGACAATCAAAAATTCTTTCATTTTTTCACGTTTTGAGTTTCTCTCCGTTGAATAACTTCGAGAGACTCAATAGATTATAAGGTTAGTAATTTCAAGTACCATTTAAAGTCATTAATGTTTAGCTGAAAGTTAACAGCAATAATTACATGTTACTTTAAACCGGCATGGTTTGAAATATACTGGAGAAAAAAGTAATGAAACTAGTTAAATGAAAAAAATTATATAAAGCAAAATCAGTTTTTTTAGGAAGGTAGTAGCTCTTAATTTGGCTTTGATTGAGGCAATTGTTTATCCCAAATATAAAAAGGTATCCTGGTACAAAACGATGAAATGAAACCCAAAGCATTTCTGAAAAACTACCTTTTTGACATTCTGATTTGGAGCTGTAAGTTTCACTTTAAAATTTTTTTCTTATACTGTGCGTTAGAACTCACTTAGGACTAAAATTACCAAAATCCAAATGAAAAATTTACTTTATAACTGGTAGAATTTGGTTCAAAAACTCCACGTTTCTGATATCTGAATCAGGTTTGAAATTAATTAATTTTTTTTGCTAACGATATGTGATCAAACTGTTTCAGTTCAGTTATAGTCAAATTCGTTGTTCTCACACACATATTGAAAACACCTCATGTTTATAGGCTTTCTTTGGGGAAATTCGAAAAATCTTGCAAACCGTTTGGTTCCGTTACTTTGTTTCTCCAGTGTAATTACAATTCTGGAACTTGAAACCTTTTGATTTTTCACTATTTTCAATCTGATTTTTTTAAAATATTTATTTGATTAACATGAACGTTTTCTCCAAAAGTTTCTCACTCTCCCTTAAAGTATTTTGATAGAACTTTTGTGTATCGAGAAATCGAGATTTTATTTGATATTGATAAGATTGTTTACAGAACCATTGGTGACAAATTTTGACGCTAGCCTTGAACAATGACTTTCTAAACAGAATCTCAAAACAGAGCCAACAGAAGATCGATTGTGTCATTGAGCTCAAGAGAACCGAAATGAAATATTGTTTTTTTTTAATTAACCTTGCGATAAGCAAGGGTATTGCAATCGGGTACTTTTTCCGTAAAGCACTTTGTCTGCTTCTACGGGATCTTTCATCTGATATCCTCGATTTCTTGAAAATTTAAAAGTACTATCATCTAGGTAGTAATTAGTTCAAGCCCGTTTCAGGTTATAATTATCTTTTCAAAGAAAATTTCTCTATTTTTTTCGGCTTCCTGGTTGTCGTCCTAGTTTCTGTTGGTTCATTTTCCGTTTTTTTTTACCGCAATTTTTATCTGGTAGGGTTTTATTGGTTTAATTTTTATATCTTGGGTTTTGAACAGGTCTTACAAACTTCACAAATTTGTAATTTTACCAAATCTGATTTTGAGTTTTTGGTTTCAGATTTTTTTATATTGACTTCGTCAACTTATTTTGCGTAATTTCGTGGGCCAATTATATCCGTTTGGGAATATGTATTTCAGTTAGGAGTGTTCGTATTAACTTTTAAACTTAATAAAAAATTTTTGGACAACAGTTTTGTTTTCGGCTGAACAGGTTTCGACCCAAACTTTGTCGTCTTTGTTGCCGCTCGGTAAAGGATTTCCATTTTTAGGTGCTGTTTATGAACTTTATCTGATACAAATATGGAGTTTTTGTACCAGTAATTTTTTCAACTTAAAGTTATTTTTTTCCAACATAATTTTTCAGAAATTTTTTTGACCAATGTTTTCTTTTTTCATTCATTATTTTGTAGCGCTTTGTGCTTTTTATGCTTGGCAAGTGTTGCGAAGCTCCGCTTCGCCTCTGTGTTTTAATTTGTGAAATTTTAACTTGCTACAAAATTATCACGCTAAACTTTTTTTAATATTCAGTCTTCAATTTTTTTTTTCATAAACTAACCCATATAGAGAAAACAGTCTATACTCATTTATGTTTGTCCCACTGGAAATTTTAAAAAATTAAAGACCATTTTGAACTTACTGAGCAATCGCCCTCCCTTTTGTATCTGCTAAAGACTTGCCAATCTCTTAATAAAAAGGTAAGTTAGCTCTGGAGCGTTCTATGTAAAATTCGAAGTTTGCTGCAATCTGATTGGTCGAAACTTCGACAGCTTAATCTACTTAACAATTGCCTCCCCCCTTTCTAGAAGGGGGCAATTGTTAAGTAGATCCACCCTTTTGTAACTTTTTTTCGCCTTTTCCTTTTTTATGATTGAAGAGGGAAATTTGTCTTCCCTTAAGCGAAGTAAAATTATTTGAAGATAAAGAGAAATCAAGCTGCCAAATGTTGCATCGGAAATGACTTTCTTCGAATAATAACGAATAAGGAATTATTCATCAATGATTAATTGCATTTCTAAAAAAGAATTAACTGTTAGGTTGCGTGCATTCATTTGCCTTCTAACGGAATAAGTCGTCAATTGACGCTTTAAAAATATTAAAGTAATAGTATCCAATATCCTAGATAACAAGCATACCTTAGCTATTTTTTTGACCTTGCAAAATCATTCAAATCTGTTTCATATCGAATATTTTGAACAAATTCAGACATATTTAGACAGTTTTTGTACTGAAGCTCGTGAAATACCTGCTAACTTTCTTTCAGATCGAAAATACTTACTGCCTAAGAAATGATGATAAAATCTGATTTTAGACTACAAGAAATCATGGTGTACCACAATGCGCAGTCTGATTGATTTCAGATAGTGTTCAAAAAAATTTAATTGGATAATCATTCCGTTAATTGGATAATCATATTCTAATTGCTGATGATAACTTAATTAGCTCTTTTCGAACCCAAAATAAACAAAAGACTTCTTTCAGTAAATAATTTAGTTACAGTTAAAAAATTTTTATTCGAAAGAAAAGATAAAACGTGGTGTTTTATCTTTTGACGAGCATTATAATGGATTGAAAGTTTTGTTTCGCAAACGATTTAATTGAGTGTCTATGAATAATGATTTTGCGACATTCATTCAATATATATCTTGCAATTTGTCATTAATGGCGTGCTTTTTATGTTGAGCTTTTGTTAGCTGAATTGTTTTCAGCAGATGAGAATGAAATAGAATGATCGTTTGAATTGATGAAGCAATCGGGGAGTACAAGTTTGCTTCCTGAGAAAAAATTATGTTCGATGTGATCTAACCTTAGCGTGCTGAAAGTTTTTAATCTGCTAACTGAAAAATAGGCATTCGTCTGATGAAATTTACAAAAATCAATGCAAAAACAATAAACAATAGATCAAAAAAGAGTACTTGACGAGAATACAAAATGCTTTCAGGTTAAATTCACTCTTGCCTGTGTAGGTTGCCATTGCTAATCGAAACTAATTAGCAAAGTTACAGCTCTTGCTCGCACACTAACAATTTCATAGCTTAATATTGAAAACCCTACCTAGGGGGATTTCTATCTCTTCATTCTCAAAAGCGGGTTTGGGGGGTTCTTGGAATGGAAGGGAGGAGGGGAGGTTACCTTACGGAGTCGACCAACTAGTCAACTAAGTGGCCCCTCGCGCCTTCATTTTTAGCCTTCATCGAAGAGTTTGCTCAAAGAAAAGACAAATAACCTCCGGAATTTTAGTTCTAATAATATCGTTTTTTTTTAATGATGCAGAGCTCATTTGTGTTTTGAGTTTACCGTTTGATTGTTAGTTTTTTCCAAAAATGGATGAAAAGAATTGAAGTTTCGAAGGGTGTTTCATAAAACATCGAATGTCAGGGTTCAATCTTTGCCGGTTTAATCAGCAAATCACCTGACCGCGGAAAGTAAACAAAGCCAAGAGGTGTCACCGTGTTAAGCATGGGATCATCTTCAGATGCAATCAATTTGTTTGTTTTTGAAGCCAGTTTTCCGTATTTGTTCAAACAAGCCAGACAAACTTTACCAAATTCCAAACTCTGAACATTGGCGGGATTAATAATCACCTGGTCATTCGATTTGCGAAAGTTGTTCTAACAACTTTTAGTTTTCTCAATTCTCAATAGCTCATCTTCAATCAATAGATATTGTGAAATTGTGCCGATTTTGAATATGCGCGGAAGGTGCCACGTTCTTTTTCTCTTCCTGATTGTTTTCCCTGCTAGTGTAGAGGTCACGTGGGAAGAGACGATGCCTGCACTCCATTGGGAGTCACTGAAGTTCGCGTTGCCTTCCAACCACGACCCAGTTTCAGAGTCATGTCTCAATCTGAAGTGAGTTTCTCATTGGTAAACAGACAATTCCCCCCCCCCCCCCCCAATCTTGTAGTGTTTTGAAAGCTCAAAAATCGAATTGGTCCTCGCTAGTTCAAAAATTTTTAAATGACGAGAAAAGTTTGAAATGACGCCTTAACATAAGATTTAGAGTGACGAGAAAGCAGGTCGTACCAAATAACTTTTCTGCCTGGTTGTTTAAAGTTTTGTGACTCCTATTATTCTTATGTTCATACTCTTGTTCAGTTTTGATATTTGATGAACTATAACATTCTACAAAAGAATCGAAAAAAGAAAATCCCTAGCCTAATTTTTTGAAAATAATCTTCCAAATTTTAAGCATAAATCCAAGAAGTTAGTTCCAGTATAGTTGAAACATTTTTGATTTTTTGAACCTTATTCAAAACTTTTGAATAAGGTTTCTGATGAATTCTTCTTACACGGGGTGCGAAGACAAAAAGTGAGCCCAATAATTCTATTTCAGAAAAAACTACTGTCTTCTGAATTACCAGTTCGAGGTTAGCCAGGGGGACCATGAGGCCATGCCTGCGGACGAGTGGGCATTCCAAGTCATAGTCAGGCCACAGTTCCAGGATATCAACTGGCTCTCACACAGTCGAAGCGACAAGGGTCAGTAGCTTTTTTTTTGATATTTAGTATCCGCTCTGTATAATTACACGAGCGCAGGGTAGTATGGATAGTAAGATGAAGTTTTTTCTAACCTAAATGGCCATTTAAAGTGCTACTTTTGGAGGCATATTTGAAATAATTGGATGAATTAGCAGTATAATACAGTGCTGATTTAAATTAACCGGACAAAACGAGCTAAACTTAAAATTTAAAACGCGTTTTTCTCTAGGGTTGAGTTTAGGTGAAAATTTATGAAGACAAAACTTGCTTAAATTTTTAGCACAATTATTGTGGTGTAATTTCTTTTGCGAAATTCGGGCCTAAAATTTTACCCCTAAAATGGGTCATTTTGGCTTTTCTTAGTTAAACAAAAATTACGCCAAAAAATACCCAGTCGAGCACAGACATAATTGTTAAGATTCAGAGTTAGAGCAAGTAGGACTAGGGGATAGAGGTTTGAGAGTTATCTGAGGTTTCAACTGAGGAGAGAGAAGAGATACTGATTGTTGAAGAATGAATTGAGATTGTGTTTATAAAATGACACGACAAACTGAGCATCAAATAGTACCAGTTAATTAATTACCAGTTAATTAATTAGTTTATCAAATACCAGCAGACCAGTTGACCTTGTCTGAGTGCATTGAGTTTTATACCAGTTGACCTTTAATTAGGTTTCTATTGCTCAAGTCTGACCTTGAGTTTGGTCTGGTATTTCACTAGTCTGGCATTGAGCTCGTCTGTCCTCAACACCCCCACTCAGGCTGAATTGGCTTTGTCCAATGTCAGGCTGCAACCCATCAGCGTTCGACGATGTTGATCCACCTTTGCCTTGCTCAGGGATTTCGTCAACAAGTCAGCCTCCATGTTTTCGGTTGGACAGTACTCGAGCGCAAATGTTCCATCCTCGACCCGCTCTCGGACAAAGTGATACTTGACATCAATGTGCTTTGTACGCTTCTGCATTACGGGATTTTTGCACATCTTGATGCAGCTCTGGTTGTCCTCGTTGATCACAGTTGGACCATCACACGTCATATCCATCTCATTGAGTAGGGATCGTAAGTAGAGGCCTTCCTGAACAGCCGCTGCCATTGCTTGATACTCAGCTTCGCTGGTAGATATTGCTGCAGTAGGTTGCTTCTTGGTACTCCAGCTGATTGCTGCTCCTGACCGCTGCACATGAAAACTGTAGCCTGTTGTTGACCTTCTGTCATCAACGTCACCAGCCCAGTCAGCATCTGCTGAACCATAAAGGTTGAACCCATCAGGATCTTTGATGTAGCACAGCTCCAGATCTTTGGTTCCTTTCAGGTATCGCAGTACTCTCTTAGCAGCCACCCAGTGTGTTCTCCCAGGATTCTCCAGAAACCGTGAAAGTTGAGTCACAGTAGCTAGGATGTCTGGCCTCGTTTGCTTGGCTATGTACAATAACGAGCCCACTATGCCTCTGTAGTCCTCACGCTGCATTGCCACTGCTTCTTCTGAGCCCGCTCCAGGGCAGTCCTTCTTCGTCAACTGAGTGCTGATATCAGCTGGTGTCCCTACTGGTTTGCAGTCAGCCAACCCAAAGCGCTCCAAGCAGTCTTCAATGTATCGAGACTGATTCACAGTGACAGAACCAGGTGCCCGTTTGACCTGCATTTTCAAAAACCAGGCTAATGGACCGCGATCATCCATCTTGAATCGGTCAGTGAATCGGTCCCTCACCCTGTCAACTTCTGCTTGCAGTTTGCAGCCAATGATCATATCATCCACCCATACTAGAACATAGATCATAGCATCATCCATTCCCCTCATCGTGAACAAACAGAAGTCATTGGTGCTTCGAGTGAAACCAGTCTCCAGAAGAAACGTGCTCAGCGTCTGGTACCAGTCCCTTCCTGCCTGCTTCAGCCCATAGATACTGCGTTGTAGCAAACACACTTGGTTGTCCCCGCTGCTGAACCCCTCGGGCTGTTCCATATACACAGTTTCTGTTAACGGCGAGTTGAGGAAGGCTGACTTCACGTCCATCTGATGAAGTACAAGATCATCTTGCGCTCCCAAAGCCAGTAGTATTCTCTTTGTTTCTGGTTTACAGGTTGGCGCAAAGGTCTCATTGAAGTCCAGTCCTTCCACATGCATAAAACCCTTCACCACGTATCTGGCTTTAAACCGCTCCACTTGTCCCATTGCATCTCTCTTCACAGCAAGCACCCAGCGTCCAGGAATGACCTTGCGAGAATTTGGTCTATCAACAAGTGTCCAGGTGCCCATTGCCTTCAGTGACTGCACCTCCAAAGCCATAGCTGCTAGCCACTGCTCCCTTTCTGGTCCAGATACTGCTTCCAAGTAGCTTCTTGGCTCTTGTGCTATCACTGAAGCATGAGTGTAAGCCAGTCCGTATCGGATGGGAGGGTTCCGCGTTCTAGTTGACCGCTGCTCTGGAATCTCTGTTGGCCTCTGCTCTGAAGGCTCTGTGGAAGGTGGTTCCAATTCTTCAGTCTCGACTGGGTCATCTTCCGTAACCCCCACTGAAGCTGCTGCTCCACTATCATTCGCTTTATTGGTAGACTCAGTGATGGTCTTCGTGCTAGTTTCCTCTACATCAATGCATCCCTCGATTGATAGACCCAGTGTTTGTGACTGCTCACTGTCTACCAGAAAGTCGTCTGGAATGATGTCTTCATTGAACGTCACGCTTCTTGCTCGTACCACTCGCTTTGTCTCCAGGTCCATCAGCAAGTAGGCTTTGCTCTCCTCGTCATAACCAATGAACTTGCTCTTCTTGCCTTTCGGATCCAGTTTCCGCCGGTTTCCTCTGTCCAGGTAGTACGCCAGGCATCCGAACACTCGCAGGTAGTTGACTTTCGATGGCTTCCCATAATGCATCTCCATTGATGAAATGCGATGCTCATTGCTGGATGTAGGACACAAGTTGCGAACCCTGACTGCCGTTGACATTGCTCGTACCCAGAACATCTTTGAGAGCTTTGCATCGGCCAGTAGACATCGAGTCATCTCAGTTATCACCCTGTTGTACCTCTCTGCCACGCCATTCTGTTGCGGAGTATTAGGTACTGTAAACTCCTGTTTCACCTGCATTTCTCTACAGAACATCCGAAAAGCATTCGACGAATACTCACCTCCGTTGTCAGTTCTCAAGCACTTCGGTGTTCCGTGCTCAGCTACAAAGTCTTTGAACTTCGAAAGAGTATCGCTCTTCTTAACCAGGTACTTGACCACTGCCAGACGGCTGAAGTCATCAATGAAGCTCACGGCATAGCGCGCTCCATGCATGCTCGCAACTTCAAATGGTCCCTGGATGTCGCTGAAGACCCGCTGCCCCACTGCAGTTGCCCTGTTCTCTGTCTTCTTTGGCATTGCTACTTCGTGCATCTTCGAAGCTGTGCACACTTCGCAGAACCCTAGCTCGCCGACATCAACAACTGATATTAGATCATGCTTGTTGAGATGCCCCAGCCTTCGGTGCCACAGCATTGCACTACTTGTCTCCATCTTCGCTTTCGTAGCTAGAGTCATCGCGTTCCTCTTGAACTTGCACTCCAGGAAGAAAAGCTTGCCGCGCTGCTTCACTGGTAGCCGTCGACCATCCGGTGCCACAAGATGAGAAGAGTCTGATGTAAAGCTGAAACTAGACCCTCTAGCTATTGCTGAGCTCACACTCATCAGATTCACGTTGTAGCTCGGCACAAACAGCACATTGTGGAAAGTGTAGCTCCTCGTCACATCTTGACAGTCTCGTATGTCCACTTCCACCGAGCCTATGCCCTCAATCTTTGATATTGTACCGTTCGGATTCTCAACTGTTGTCCCCTCATCCCATTTCTCAAAGCTTGAGAAGACAGCCTTGTCGCGCACTACATGATCGGTGCATCCCGTATCCACAATGAGATCATCTCCCTTCATTGAGGTTGTTGCACAACAACTGAAGAACCCTGTCTTTGCCTGCTTGCAGTCCCTTGCAAAGTGTCCTTGTTGTCCACACTTGAAGCACCCTTGCTTCCTTGAAGTTGGACCACTTGCTTCATTCGAGCCACTGCCTCGAGCACCAGATTGACCACTGTCACTTCTGGATCTGCAATCTCTTGCCAAATGACCCTTCTGACCGCACACAAAACAGCCACCACCCGACGCTCCTTTCTTCTTCCTCACAGCTTGCATAGCTATGTGTCCATTCCCAGTCTTCTCTCCACATCGAGCTCGTCTCGAGTCATCATAGTTCCTCAACCTCGTTCTCAGCTCTGTAAAAGTCTTGGCCGGCTGGAAGCTCTCCTGCACCACGAAATGCTCAAAGCTGTCAGGCAGTCCGTTGATCACGAGCGCATTGAAGAGTGTGTCCGTAATTGCTTCCCCAGCTTCACTCAGCCGCGTCATCAGCTCTTGACTTCGAACGAAGTAGTCATCGAGATCCTCCTCTGATCCTAGGCGCAGCTTCGCAAGCTGGCCTACTAGACTGACCACTGTAGGCCTCTCCACACTGCAAAACTTCTCTTGCAGCAGTCTCCAGGCCTTCGTCCCATCGCCATAGCCATCCGCAGCCACGCAGTCGTTCTTGATGTACATCAGTGTGGTGTTGTTCAGGACCAGAGCTAGATGTGACCACACTGTGTTTCGGTTGTCTTTCCTCTGCTGGATCAGCACAGCTCGCTCCTGCATCTTGGTGTTGTACGCCGTCATCTGGTCAGCATTCGGATTCTCAGGTAGCGTAGGTTCAGCTTCTGGTAGATCGTCATTGCCCATCACAGTCCTGAACAGGCCTTTGGTATGCATCAGTGCCACAAACTTCGTCGACCAAGCTGGAAAATCTTCAGACTTTCCACTGAATCCAGCCAGTTTCAAGTCCATCTCTGCTTTGCTAAAGGCTAGATAAAAGCTAAAAAAAACTCTGACAGAAATCAAATAATTATTAAATCAAAAAGTTTAGAAATCTGGGCCCATAACCTGTTAAGATTCAGAGTTAGAGCAAGTAGGACTAGGGGATAGAGGTTTGAGAGTTATCTGAGGTTTCAACTGAGGAGAGAGAAGAGATACTGATTGTTGAAGAATGAATTGAGATTGTGTTTATAAAATGACACGACAAACTGAGCATCAAATAGTACCAGTTAATTAATTACCAGTTAATTAATTAGTTTATCAAATACCAGCAGACCAGTTGACCTTGTCTGAGTGCATTGAGTTTTATACCAGTTGACCTTTAATTAGGTTTCTATTGCTCAAGTCTGACCTTGAGTTTGGTCTGGTATTTCACTAGTCTGGCATTGAGCTCGTCTGTCCTCAACAATAATTATATCAGTGAGCTCCTTGTAATAATTATATAATTATATAAAGTGAGCTCCTTACGTAGCCCATCAAACTTTAAAAAGAGTATATTCTCCAAAACTTTGTATAAGTTAATTTATTTTTGTTTGATAGACAAAAAAGGTGGTTTTTAAAAAAAAATACCAACTATTTATTTAAAAACAAGTTTTAAACGATTTGCAATTTTTTTAGAGAATATACCCTTCTTAAAGTTTGTTGGACTACGTCAGGAGCTCACTTTGGTATAATTATGTCTGTGATCGACTGGGTATTTTTTAGCGTAATTTTTGTGCAAAACAAATTACCATATTAATTCTGCTAAAGTTTTAAGCAAGTTTTGTCTTCATAATTTTCCACCTAAACTCAACCCAATTTGAGAAAAACGCGTTTTAAATTTCAAGTTTAACGCGTTTTGTCCGGTTAATTGAAATCAGCACTGTAACATGTGCTTTGACATTTGATTAGTGATAGGTTAACACATTGATGCTTTTTAAATTTAATTAATTGAACCGAAAAAAGTTGTTTGTTTCGGGCAACTGAATAATGATTAAAATCGTTTTTCAGAAATTTTTCAACTCTCTGCGAGATTTTCGAAATGCATAATTTATACGCAATTATGTTGAATACATTTTAGTTCATTTCATGAAAAGTTAGCGTGGTTGCCTGAGTTTATTATGCAAAGTTTAAGTTGCTGAATATTTTACTGCTCCAGATGCTCTGCCGCTTTCTTGCTAGTGTTTGCGAAGTTGAAGCGTTGCCTCTGTGTAATTCAGAGAGTTTCGTGGATAGTAATCAATTAAAATTGGATGATAATTTTAAATTCCAAAGCAATAAAATCCATTTTGATTCGATTATAATCGATGAATTGGGGGTTAACGAAAGGGGATGAAATTTCAGGGTGATGAAAGAACGATTATGTAGGGTTTTGCTTAAAAATGGTTAACTGATAATAATGGATTTAAATCGATTTTTTGTTACAAAAACTTACTTGATTATAAATTTTTTTATTTTCTCGTATACTACCTCGCCAAATCTGAGATTATAATTTTAAATGAAAAATCAATTTATAAGAAGCTCACTCGTGTAAACGACCCCGCCCAATTTTTTTGCTCAAACAGTTGTGGCCCTAGAAAACATGAGTTTTGAGTAATTTAACGTTTTGAGTGTTAACCGTTTTATGAAATTTTTGGTTTTTTAAATTACTGATATCAAAGGTTCAATCGTGAGAACAGGTTAAGAAATCCTTCTGGCATCAGCAACTGTCCTCTAACTTTTGGAGAAGAAAAGTTATGGATTTAGTAAAACAAAATTTTTGAATGTTTAACAGTTTTTGTCCCTGTCAAATCTGATATTAAGGATTTAATTGATACAAATTGTTATATAAATCTCCCGGTATAAACGGTTTTGCCTTGGAGTTTAAGTACAATTGTTATGATTTCCGCAAAAATTAACTTTTTGAAGCCTGGAACTTTTTTTTGAAACTCACGCATTTTCTCGAAAACTTCTTGGCCAAGTTTTAGAGTAAGGGTTCAGTCGAGAAACCCGGTCACCGGAATCCCCCTGCATGAGCGGCTCCACCATAAATTTTGCAGGAATTTTTTTTCCCAGAAACTCGAATTTGATATGTTACGATAAACCTAAATCTGCAAAAAAGGCCACTTTTTCCAGCCACTGATTTTTTAGGTCCAATTTTCTTGCTTTTTTGAAAGCGTTCCGTTTTTTGCAGGTCATTCTATGTGAAGGTGATAACGTATACTTTCTCGGCAAATCACATAAAATCGAATTTAGCTGTATAATTGTTTCAACTTCAGTTATTCAGTTTTTAAAATTTTCATAAGGTAGATCAAGTATTTTTTTTTCGATTTCCCGTAATGGGAAAATGTTAGCTATACAAATTTTATGTGATAAAAATTCTTTTCAAAGAGGTTTCATGCAAGCTTCAGTATGTATTAAATTGACAAAATTGTAGGGTCAAAATTTTTTCTAATCTGAAGTTTGCATGATTCGAAGTTTCGGTCGAACCGGATAGTAAAAAAAATCGGGCCAATGGATTTTAATTTCACTTTAGAAGATGAAACCGATTTGATCCTTTATATTTCATTTTTTCAATTTTTTTTGTTATTAACCCAGTCAAAATCAAGTATAATGGATTACAATGGCTTATAGCAATCTGTATAGTTTGTAGCAAATTATTCCCAAGACTTGCAGCATGTTCTGTTCCACTCATGGCTTACGCGGCTTGTAGATATTAGTAGATGAATAGACGAAACTGGTTCACATTTTGATTAAAAACTGTTTAGATTAAAAAATCGATCTAAATCTCGGTAGCTGCTTGAAAAGGCCTTAAATTAATTAATTCAATTCCCAGTTTTTATCATGTAGGAGGCTGCTGCAATTACCAGTCCGACCAGTACAAGGAGTATGGCCAGAGAATGGGACTGACTCCACTAGAGTACATGGAGAAAATGACAGACTACACGACAGACAATAAACACGTCAACTTAATCAAAGTCAGTGTCACGCGTATCAATTTTTTTTGTTTATAAGAGTGGATTTAGTTTTTTAGAAAAAGCGAATGTGAAATAAAATAGTCGATATTAGCGCCGAAAAGGATAGTAACACCGATTTGTTGGTTCGCTAATTCTTTATGTAGGTTAAGTTCACGTTGATAAAAAAAAACATTTTTTTTGTTCAAATCTTTTAAGTTTGCTATTAACGGTTCAAATGAACTGAGTTATAATTAGTTAGGACCAGTTGGGATTAGAGAAAAGGGAACAACATCTTACAAATTGTACGATCTCAACGAAAAAATTCCCTCTTGCAACGTAGAATGATGCGTTCCGATCATCTTTCCGGTTGAGAGGCCTAGACGATAGCCTTTTTTTCGATATCGCTCCGTTTGTTTTATTTATTTGCAAAAATGCAAAGAAAGGGTAATTTTCTATAGTTTCAACAACTGAGTAGAACTAGTTCTATTTTCGATTTATAAATTCGATTTTTCAATTTTGACTTTTTCAATTGTAATTTGCGTCTTTTTTGTTTTCCACGCCAAATTAATATCGGAGAGAGTTGGGGATATATCACATTAAAACACTTTTAGCCGTGATTCGATGGACATTAAAGCCTTTGAAAACGTTTTCCTAGTTTCGAGTAAATCCGGTTTGTAATTTTTAAGAGTAATGAACGTAGTGAAGACTCTTATATAGGTCTTGCTGAATTTTTTTTTTTTTTTTTCGGGAAGAGTCTTAAAATATTGCTGCACTTAGATATAATGCATTTTTTGAGTTCAATTGAAATTCATCTGCTGAAAGTGACGTAAATAGCACTCTCCAAATATAAACGTCGAATTAGAGCAAAAAAAACGTAAATGTGAACGATTTCTAGTTTCGAAAGTGGCATTTATTCTTAAGACTTTCCAGTGGAATAATAACTTTACCTATTGATCCAGTTTTTTCAAATCGGGTTCATGTTATCAAAAAGCGCCAATCATAAATTGTTCTAGAATTAAAAGAGCTTAAAGGGCATCTATTTTTTCTTTGAAATTCGGAAGTTGAAGAATGTGTATTTTTTTTTGCTTACTTGAGTTCAATTCTCTTTTCCGATCTTTGATTGGCTATGTTTGTTTTTTCGTCTCAATTCGAGCGAGTAAAGCGAGCGAGCACTCTTAATTATTCTTAATTAAGGACGTTTACTATAGCTAACTATATTTGCGAAGCAAAGTGTATTAGTACGAACTTTCTTTTTTTTTTCCAACCCAAGTCGCAACCAGAAGTCCTAGTTTTGGTGGCTCTATTGAATCGGTAGGCTGCGGTAGCAGTATAATATCATATGTGCTGAGTGGTTAGTTGGTAGGTTGCAGATTCGAATCGGACACGTAGCCGAATTTTTGCTAATCCGAGGCTTATTTCTTTTTTTTCTTATTTCACTTGATAGAGCTGCTTTTTGGTCGTGTTCTCGTAAGTGTTTGCGAAGCGCCTCTATGAGAATGCTTAGTTTTAATTTTTCTCGAGTAAAATTCGTGTTTGGAGATTTTTAAAGCCCTTTTAGGAATAAAAAAATTCATTTTGGCCTACATTATTTTGACTGTCGAATATGCCTAAAATATAGTGTTGCGTCGGAACCTTTTATTACACCTCCTAGAAAAAACCACTAATTTGAAGAAAAAAGTGTTTTTTTTTGTTTTTTAAAGACTATGGTCAGAACATTTTGTGCTACTTGTACAGTAATCGGCTATCCTTGCTTAATATTTTTATATTTATAGCTTATTTCGATGTTTTCAGGCCAAGTTTATTCCCAGCCTCTGTGTGAACATCATAACTGAGATTGGATTTGGCCCGGGCAATCTGAAAGTGTTCGGGCGGATTACCGGTCACACTTTCCTCCTCCCAATTCTCAGCCTCGGAGAGTTTGTCACAATCCGAAAGGACGATCTGCAATACCACACCAAACTCACCTTCGGCTGGTTCAAAGAGAATGTCATGTGTTTTGACAATCCCTGGATCTGTGGCCGCAAACCTCCAGTTCAACAAGTTGAAGACCAACTAGGAGCACTTGATATCGGTTTGAGACGGCGCCGAGACGTACCAGATGAACCCGTTCCCAAATCCTTACTAAGCTAAAACTATTGAACTATGAGATTGTACCTGTTGTATATGTTGATCGATTTTTTTGCAGATGATGTCAATTTTCACAGTTAGTTTTGTTGCATAAATTTACTTCTAAAATTTATTCTTAATATGCCAAAACAAGCAACCGCGTGTAAAAAAACAGCAGTAATCGGTTTTTTGGCGTATCAAAGCCGAATTGTTGACTAGGAGCAACCAAATCTGTCAAAAGACTACGCGTTTTCCAGTAATGAATTTTTCTATCACACTTAAAAGTTTTTTGTTTTAATTTTTTCGAAGACTTTTTGTGAAATTTTGCATATACATTAGGCAGTGAATGCTTTCAAATTGAAACCAGGGTGGCGGGTTACTGTGCAAGTAGCACAGAATGTTCCGACCAGTCTTCAAAAACCACAAAAAAAATTCTTTTTTTTTTCAAATTAGCGTAGTTTTTTCTGCGAATTATGATAAAAGGATCTAATGTAAAACTATAATTTAGTGATCTTCGACAGTTGTAGTAATAACTAGACATATTTTTTTTCTCAGAATTTTGAAATTCCTAATTTTCCAGTAACCATAAGAAAATAAGTTTTTTGCAAATCTTCGATCGAAATCAATTTATTTAAAAAACGAACTTCGAGTTTTCAGAGAAAATCTTAGTTTATAAGTTTGTTAGAATGACTGCTTTGACTATAATAGCAAAACATTGAGTGAACATGTGAAACGAGCTAGCAACGTTGAAACTGGAAAAGAAAGGGTTTGGTGGGTTCAGATTACGAGTGAGACTCAGAAAACCTAAATAACTGGATATGATCGAGCTAAAAAAAATCAGTTGTACTCGAAAAGGCCTTCCAAAAGGTAAATTAGTAGACGAAGATCTAGAATTGTTAAGAGACGTGCTGAATCTGAAAGCAGACGTACTTTTTTCCAAAAAAATGACACGCTGTTGCAAATTCGTTGAACATGAAATCAAAATAGAAGGGGAAGTATGTAGTAGCAAAGATAGATAAAGGATAGCTGAATTTAACAAGATGGATCTGTCTAAATCCCCATCAGCTTTCAATGTAATTATGGCAGAGAAAAAGAAATCAACAAGGGTTTCGTTGCGAGTTCCATTATTTGAACGTGTTCTTATAAAGACGATTAACCAGCCCCACGAACTGCTGAAACTCTCTGCAAATTGGGAGATGAGAATTTATTCAGAACTTTGGTGCCCCTCAGAAAACAAGATCATGAAAAGACAGGCTTTGCAAATGAGCTGGGATTCTTACGATAGAAAAAATTCTATTTCTTCTATGAAACAAGACTGGGACATTTCAGCGGCTAAGGGCCTAGTCCTACACGAACGTAAAAATTAAGAACTTAAACCTTATAAATTGATTTGTGGATGACATAGTCCTTGCGACATCTTCTTTGGAGGACAACATGGAAAGGCGGGGGATAAATTCGGTTGCAGCAACAAACAGTGCTGAAATGCTGACTGAAGAGAAGTGAGATCAAGGGGTTCAAAAAAAGTACTTGGATCGGATTGTGCATAAACAGGGATCCGACTGGACGCAGAAGCAGTCGAGGCAGTGCTGATCTGAAGTCTCCGAAGATAAACAAATACCTTATGAGCTTCCTGGCCTTCGCTAAGTAGTGTCGAAATGTTTTCAAAAGCTTCGCAGACAAAATCCATCATGTGGATCACGGTCAAGGATTTCATTGAGGATAAAAAGGCACAGTCAATCAAACTTGAGCTATTCGATGCACCATTCCTCAACAATGTTTACAGTGATCCTAATTGATTGTCGCTTCTTGCTTTCTGTGGACAACCGAGGTCTGAGATTTTTTGTTCGTTGATAGTCAGTCAGGATGGCTACTAAATCGTGATAGAACACAGGATGCGAGACCCGCGTCAAATCCAGTAATTGGAAGGAAAAGCCAAGTAGAAATCAAAGATGTTTTTTTTTTAATAAGAATACTTAAAATTATAGGTGAATAGTCAGCTACCGATAACGGGACCCGAAAACCCGAAAACCTAGTCAAAAAAGCTGCAGAGATAAAATTACTGGCTTGTATCACTGTGAAAGCTCGAAGACAGTTAAGTTAAAATGCCAAATTACGAATGAATTAGCTCATAATTAGTACTTTTAAAGCAATTTTAGCAAAACAAAATCCCATATGCTGGCCACCATTGCAATCTCACTGTAGATTAAAGATTTTTGGCTCGATTTCCATTTAGATTTCATAACAATTTTGAATCGATAAACTGAATCGAATTGGTTTTATCATCAATCAAAGTCCTTTGAACAAATTGACGACTAAAAAGTGCGTTAAAAATATTCAGTGCTTACTGAAATAAATCAATTTTATAAATATTGGGTATTCTTCTAGATTTTTTCAAGCCACAATTTCTCAGTAAAATTAATAGTTATAGTAATGTTTCTTGTGTTTGCTATGTTTTGAATATTTGTGTTTTTAAATTTATTTTCTCGCGGTTTGTGTTCGGAAGCTGCTCGATATTTGTTTCATCAGCCTGAACAAAACAATTTTGACATAAATATTGCTTCTTTTTGATATGATTGTTCAGTTTCTCGCTGCTGTAAATATGATATTACAAAATGGACATTTCAAAACTTTACAAGTTTTACAATGATTTGATGCTTCTGGACGTGGGTAACCTATACCAGACTCAAGACATGCAACACTTTCGTTTCTAATCAGTTTCTTATCTCATTAAGTATGGAATGAACTTGAGAAAAAATGGAAGTGTGGAATGAACTTGAGAAAAAATAGGAGATTTAGATAGTCTCAAAGTTTTATAAGCAGACTTACACTAACTTTAAAAAGACTCAAAAAATGATGAAAGTAAATAACCAGAGATATGCAAATTGTAGAACGATTGCATTTATTCTAAAAAAATCAGAGTGAAAGGGCTTTGCTGTTGCTTTGGGAGAATCAACCAATCAGAGTCCAGCATTCTCTAAAAACGATTTTTTTTGTTCAAAGGTTTCTCATTATTTGAACAATGTGTAACACAAACACTAAGTTTCCTCGAGTTATTTGCCAGTCAGAAAAATATATAAAATTTTCTTATAGATGAAAGAACGTTGGTTCTTATTCTTCTTTTTTTTCACAATTTTTTGGACGTGTATGTCGTCCGAATTAGAGCTCTCTGACTAAGTTCAGGTCTATTTAGGAAAACTTAATCAATCAAAGAGATTAATTTTGAACCAAGTATTGAGTATCAAAGATTTAACTTACTGCTGAAATATGTTTGACAAGAAATAAACCTTAACTTTATTAGACAAATTGAAATTAGTCAAAAAGTTGTATTATAAAAAATCAAAGACACTTTTTACTCCCTGCCTGAAACATAAAATTGTCAAATATCCCCAGCAAAATTGTTTTTCCTTTCTTTTCTAATAGAGTTTCAAAGTCCAAAATTGTGATTGATCAGGTTTGGAATAAGATTTCAAAAGCCTCGACTTTTCCTCTCAAATCTGCCTTGAAGACAAAGAACTGGTTCTTCTACTCAAAGCTCTGCAGTTTCGCATTGGTTATATTCCAAAAATTTAATTGACGTGATGAAAAGTTTGCAGAAAAGTTAATTTTTATAATTTTTTCTTAGTTATATTGTCAACGTTCGTTTTTCACAGCGAACAATTTTTGGTCATCAGTTCTTGTAATTTCTTTCGTGTTAATTTTTTTTTACAAAACTGAAATTTAAATTTTTTGAAATTTTAGCTTTTTTCTGATTGGATACAAAAATCTTAACTTTTATGAAATCTCTCTATGATTGGAAACGACAAAATGAATGAAATACCGTTAATGGAATTTTATTTTTGATTGGATACGACTTTTATTTAAAAAAAATATATGAATGGAAGCTGAACTCTGAGTGAATATGATTACCGTCCATATACGGAAAATGTTTTCTAATTCGTAAAAACACGCGCTCGAGTTGAAGATACCACTCACTCTTAAAAACGAAAAAAACTTTCAGTTTCTCTTTAATTTCCCTCAACTACCTTCTCTCTCGATTCCAAACTTTTAAAGTTCAAGTTATTTTACCTCAACTTCTTCCTTCCTCGGCTCTAAATCACTCAAAATTTGTATCTTTATGCTGTTGCTTATGTTTCAAACTATTACTAAAAATGACCTTCTCAGAGCAAAACAACAACCTCATGAACTCGGCGGAATTTTTGCCTGATCCGAAACAAATCCAAGTGCGAGAAACCGTCTCTGGAGTTTTTCTGGCAGGAATGAACTTCCAAATCCTAGTTTGGCACATGGTGGAAGCGATGCAAAGGGATTTCAATGAACATCATATGACGCAAGTACCGATCACAGAGAACCAACTTGGATCAATGCGATTGACGATTAAAGTGACTGAACAGGTGGGAATGAACTACCTCAAGATTCCAGACTCTAGATATGTGGCTCAACCATTCAAAGACTTCCTCTTTCCTTCGGAGGAACAGGACCAGCCAAAAACTTCTTCGCAAAAGGCGAAGATGAAGACGAACCACCTGTGATGAAGTTTCGACCTGCTCTGCGTTCTATAAAGAATATCCAGGACTCTGGACAGATCTTTGATTAATAACTTTTGTAAAAAACTGTTGAAGGTCATTTATTTCATCTCTTGTAATAATTATCTGGTTTTCTCAATATCTTTTTAACTATGGGATAGATAATTAGGTTAGAGTAAAATATACCAATTGAATGAAAAAAACAACGAGAACATAATTTAAATTAGTGATATATTTTTTTGCACATATCTTAGAGAAAACATAAAAGTACAATTTGCTGCTAATTTTTTGCATCTTGTCAAAAACGTTTTTCGCATCTTGTTAAACAATGAAACACTTTGCGTAACTTGTAGAAAATAATCAAAGTTTTTTTTGGCTTTTTCTGAAAAAAAAAAACTGAAATGCTTTTATTTTTGTAGAAAAAAGTCGAACATTTTAAAACCCTGTATCGTAAAAATCATTGCAAATTTTCTTGAACTGTTCATAAATAATTCTTATGCTTTTTTGCAAAATTTAAACATTTGGGAAACTAATATTGCCATAATATTGATCAAAAACAACAGATAAACAATCTAAACAT